CAACACTCGACAGCTCTGTCACAAATAAACATCTTGTTTCCACACCAACACATAAAGCACAAATTGCGCATCTCATTGATCGCATTAACTTGAAGGGGTTAATAAAAACACACCTTGCAGTACCCCCTCTTCACCCACACACTGGGAAAACTGCCACCCACTGAGAAAGGGAAATGCTGCCCTCTACTGACTGTGGCGTGTAACTGAAAATATCGTCAATCCTAAACAACAGATTGAACATTGGTTCCACCCTGGAAACATTTTGTAGAACCTTTAAATGTGTGTCTACATTACAATCTGAAATCTGATCTCAAACAAACTGGTTTTAATCTGAAATTATATTTTATTTATGTATTTATTTGCATTATTATTTTATTTTGAAGTTCCTGAAGTGTCTTCTCTTCTCTGTGCACATAAAGCAGCCATCACTGGCTTTTAATCTGTCCCCTTGCTGTGATCATGTGATCGTGGGTCGCTCCTGAAAGACAGAACTGAACAGTGGATCCTGATTACTGAGACCTAACACCTCCTGCTAATGAGCTGCTTATGCTGCACCTCCTGTGCTGACGAGCTTTAAGCGATCTGCAGCATAAAACACGTCTACAGTGATTTCACCCATCAGCTGTAGTGTCACCACTGACAACAACCCAGTGAGTCATCGTGTACTCGAATACTCCTCTCCTGCTTCTACATGTGTGCAAGACGGATGAGCTAAACTACACCAGGGAGGAAATGTAGATGTTTGCGTTAAACGGTGGAAGAAGTCCAGCAGGGAAAGATGTTGTTCTGCTGCCTCCCGTCGTTGCGTTACTGCCATTATTTCTGCACTGAAAAGCTTCTCAGAGAGGAAAGATCACTGTTTATCTGGCAGCCACACAAATGAGTCATTTGAAAATAGCCGAATTGTTGGTGCATCATTCGCAGCTACTGAACAATTACATAATGTGGCAGGTGGAGAGCTCTACTTAATCATTCCAAGCACAGGAGAATGGCTCTGGACAACAGGCAGAGTGATCAGAAGTAACCTCTCACTGCAAAAGACTCAGCAGGAGCGTTAGCATGGACGAGGACGAGGAGGAGCGGGTTAAGGTGCTCCAGTCTTTTTTTCCTCAAATACAATATGTAAGTTAGGCATTTGTGCTGCTAAGACCCAATGATTCACAAAGAGGTTACGACCTTCACTTTGCATGCTTTCATTGCAAAGTTCACTGAAGAATAACCTACGATTCCTCCAAAGAAACCAACCAAAGGTCCAATAGGAGACCAAGAAAGTCATGTGTGTTTAAAATCTTCACACCAGGAGTGAGAATGTTTGTGGTGCCGTTAGTACTGAAATAAATGTACTTCAGGACGTTTTCACAGGAAAAAGTATAATTAGCTCAGATTTAATCCAGTTTTTTAATAAGGGAGCATTTCCTTTATGAATGGAGCTCTCTGTCTGCTCCTGTGTTGTAGGAAGGTTATTTTGAGCCAATATTTAAAATGTATTGCATTGAATTCAGCTGATTGTGGGGAAGAAGCCAAGTGAATGTCAGTTTATATGTGCAGCTGCTCTTGCATTGTGTCAGTTTAACTGACTGCGTGACACATTGTTTGTCTGTCGATGAGGCTTATTGTCCATGAGGAGGTAAGAGCTGCTAATCAACTGGATCATTTAAAGCTACATCAAACTGGTCATTAAAACACTCACAGCTAATAAAACCCTTCAGGAGACATTTAGGCATCACGTTTCATCTCCTGCTCTCGGAGGAGGAAGAGCCGTGGCCGTCGCTACATTGATCTCTGCTCGGTTTTCTCTTCTTCACGAGCTTTTAAAATTTTCATTTTTGCTCTTCAGTATTTAAAGGAGTCATTTTTTAGGAACGTCAAATGAAAGTTATTGCATCCGCATTATTTCCTCTAGGCCAACATTCACGGAGCAAACTGGGAGTTTTGGTTTCTGCACTCAAATGTAAAACTTTATGTTGTGACTTTGCACGTGCTGCTCCATGTAATGACCAACCCGGCGGTGCACATGCTCGTTTTACCACCGTGTGTGTGCTCATAACTAGTGATGTGCGAATCATGAATGAATCGTTCAGTACTCGAGAATCACTTTACTGACTCGTGAATCATGATTCACAAGCCCAACTGACTCATTCCTGTTGCTGTTAGCAAACTAATTTCATTAGTAGAAATATATCTAGCTTATAATTAAAATTGTGGGGGGGGAAAAACAGCCAGTTTCTTAACAGAAACATTTCTGTTTTGAACTGGAAGAAAAAACCCTGAGTAGAAGCTCACATCAAGACAATCCGGTCTTTAAGTGATGACATGCTGAATCCTGCTTCAGGGCCCAAACTACCTTGCGTTTCATAGGGCTATTGTTCTTTAAACATGTTTTAATGCTTTGTAACTTGTTCTATTTCATCTCAACAAGCCCATAAAAACAGTCAGTGATCACTGTCGGCCTCTCTCGGTTTTTATTACTGCTAATCATTTTAAAGCTCAGTTTTTAAAGATTCCGATGCAACTACATCCTGCCATGCGATTGCATTTGTCTCTAACCATCAGGAACCATCACGCTAACTTTATCAAGTGGAAAGAAGTTAGCTTGTTTATGTTATGCTAACATAGCTGTGTCGCTAGCGATCACGTAGCACATCATTATATACCAGCTAGCCCAACTTCAGTAACCCTACAAACATCACTGCTGTTTAGTTTTCTGTCTTCATTTATGTTGGAAGTGATAGCAGAGCTGTACGTTTGAATTTTTTCATAAATCTCTCAGTCAGAACATGCTATAACATGTTTAGCTAACTAGCGAAACTACTGATCTAACTTCCGCTAACTTCCTGCTAACTTCTAACTCCATTAAATTTAATAAATTCTGTTTTCATGGATGCCTGGATGTTAAACTTAATTGTTACACCTGGTAAAGCAGCAACGCTGATCATTTTATTACAGATGAAAGAATTTAGACAGTTTTTCAACTCTCAGTAATGCTGTAGTGATCGTTTGACTTTGGGACCTGAAGCTGACGGAGTTTAGAACCCAGACGCGGCTAATGACGTCAGACTTAAAGGCCCTTTCTCAATTCTCAAGTACGCGAGTCCGTACTCGCCGAGAACGCACGGGAGTACGGACTCGCGATTTGTACAATTGGAACACCAGCGATGATGTCACAGGTCCGGAGTTTTTACTGCCGTCCCCTCTTAATTTAACTGTGAGTAATATGTTATGAAGCTTAACTTTAATCACAGCCAAACCGATTTACTCAGGAACAAATAAAACACTGAAATAAACCAAACATTAACATTTAGAAGTGATCTAAGCGACTTATATATCATGTTTAACCTATTAATAAAAATAGTGTACATGTACATACGTGTACATACCTTAATAAAAACAAGCAGTTGAGATGTTAGAACGCTTTTATTTTTATTTTAGTGGACACTCAATACAATAGACAGCTGCTGGGGTTTGGGGTTTGTTTAACCTGAGTAGCGAAAAGACCGCGGGGGGGTTGGAAACGATGTGCCGGGAGTCCGCTGTTCTCGCTGGCTCTAATGATCCGCTGTCTGCTGTGGAGCTGGTGGGTCACAGACATCTCCGAAAACGTCGGAGCGCATTTGGAAATATATGACATCTTGATAAATCGAGCAGATATTTGAAGTTTACACACCTACATTCTCGCTTGAAAATAACTTAAACATTTATTTTGTGACCCAGAAAGAGTAATATGTAAAAGTTTTTAGCCCCGCTCACCCGTCATTGCTGCGTTTGAGTTTTGGACGAAATGCATTCTGGGATATTTAGCTGTACCAAGTCCACACAAGTCACCACCAATGCATGCTCAATAAAACGGGCGGAGCGAGAACACATTCGGGACTTTTTCGCGTTCTCGGCTTGATGCTTACTTCGAATTGGAGCAGTACTTGGTCTCCGACTGATGACGTATCACGAGTACACGACAACGCAAGTACGCATATTGAGAAAGGCCCAAAGACTGGATAACATGCTAACAGCACATTTGAGTTACTCACCCCCCTTCCTGTGCTGAATCGTAGCATGAACGAATCACTCACTCACGTCCAAATTCATGGGCTGCATCCTCCTGAGGACCCGTCCTTCGCGGTCTAGGTGGGCCGGGTCCTCAGAAGGTCGGGTAGGCCGGAAGTAAACGGCTGTGGAATTGGACAGTCTAGCCTTCAGATTTGCGTCACCACTGTCTCGGTGGAGTTTAATAAACTCAGCCGTCTGCTCCTTGCTATCTAAAATATAACAGGACATTGGCGTAAATTCTTGATTGTCTCACACTTCTGTTTAATCAGCCACGAAGGACACACCCGACCCATCCTTCAAATCTGGGGAATTTGTTGGCCACATTCGGAGGAGTCTACGAATTTGGACAGCCTTCGTCACGTCGCTGTGACGTAATCGGCCTACAAATGCGTCCTCATGAGGATGCAGACCATGAATTTGGACACAACCACTCACTCACTCACCCCCTCCCTCCTGGCTCACAGCTTCTTCTTCTTCTTGGTTGGCGACCAGTGTTAAGGCTCATTACCGCCCCCTGGCTCACAGCTCAGTGGACATTTAGATGAGAAAATATACATTTGACACATTTGAGGAAAATACTAATAAAATAAAGTAAAAATAAATAAAATAAATGTTCCCTTTAAGAATCTTAATTTTTTTTTGCTCTTTTTTGCACTATAAAAATAGTTGTTTTTCTTTTTCAATCACTCATCTTAGCAGTAGGATTTACATGAAAATAGAAACAAATTAAGTTTTATTAAGTGAAAATGTACATTTTTTGCACTCTCTGGTCAACTGACTCAGTGACTCAAACAAAAACCCATTTTGGTGAGTGACTCATTCAAACTCAGTAAAAAAAACTTGAATTTACCATGACTCCTCATAACCCCGCCCTGTGTCTTCTCCTTTGCTTTCATCATCGTCATATAGAATTTGTCGAACTGCAGTCAGACTCACGGTTTCTGTCTCTGTCTCAGGCTGTAAGGAGTGCTGCGAGCGATGTGTGGGCAGCCTGCCCTGGGCGTCGCTCATCGCCACCATCCTCCTCTACATGGGCGTGGCCTTGTTCTGTGGGTGTGGCCACGAGGCTTTGAGTGGCACCGTCACCATCCTCCAGAACTACTTTGAAGTCATCAGAGCCCCGGGAGACACTCTGGATGTGTTCACCATGTAAGTGTTTCATCTTTTCTCTGTACGGAGTATTAATAATCACTCTTAATAATCACAAACCCCAAACAGAATTGGTGCATCCCATCGCTAGTCAAAGGAGCTTGCTCTTTCAAGGATGCCAATGTTCACATTTTGGACAGAGAGGACAGATGGTTTGAAAGAGGAGTGAAAGAAGCATCTATGTCCACTGTGAGCGACCATCTTTGAACAGAGGCGGGGTTTATGACACCAACTCTCTGCCATCTATAATCCAGTTTTGAGATCCTCCCCAGACGCCTTAACGCCCACTCACATCCTGGGCCATCTGATCTCAGGAAATCACATGATAAGGTGGGGCCAGGTTTCACAATGAGCTCACCCGAAACTCTGGCTGATTGGGACCCACGCCCAGTTTCACACCTTGGCTCAGGCGATTAGAGGATCATCAGGGGGTCCTTTTGTCCCTCTGTGGGGGGAAACTCCCACTAGGTTTATATCTGGGACTCTCCACCATTTGACCTTAGAACTGAAGAAGCTTCTTGGATGAGAGGTGAAACGTCTTCAAGCAACTTAAAGAAGTCCAGACGCTTTTCTTTGCAAGCTCCTTTGACTACAATGACCTGGATGACTGAGAACCTTCACAGACATCCCATCGCTACGCTAGTAATATCCAAAATAAAATTCTAAAACTTCACTCACCAGAAATGGAGCGTAGGCTACTTACAGCATAGGAAACTGTATTATTGGGCACAGTTTATCTCAAGTTCAGGCCACGCCCCTTCCTGCTATACAGCTAAAAATCCCTTGTTGGCCCACACAGTTGTTTGTTCTAGTTTCTTACCCCGCCCCTCCAGGCCCGGGAACCCGCACCTCTTCCTTTATTACGTGGTCTCCAACCTGCAGCCTTTGAGCTAGCTCGTAGCCTCTGGGCTAGCCTGTTGCTTCATTATTATTAAAAGTGTTTCATTCACATCATCGTCCAGACTCCAGTCAGCCGAGGTGAGGGCTAGCAGACAGTTAGAAGCTACAACTGCCTGTGTTGCCATCCACCTCTCAATCAAAGAGACCACGCCCCTAACCGTGCATGCAGTCATGCCGTCTGTAAACATGATTATTTCTGCTGTAACCTTTTAACAGTGTAGAGACCGACTCAATGCTGGACCTTCTAGTGGACACTACTGGAACTGCAGTTTTTGGCTCTTCAATGTTTTTTTAAAAAAAAATGTAAACAGACAAACGAGAAAATAAAGATAAAATTAGGAATGTCTACATTTACACCACTTAAATTTTTAATGTGAATAAATCCTCCATGATTCTCTGGTTTCTGGCAGTTCCTCGTGGTGATTTAGCTGAAGAAGTCTGAAGAGCACTCGAAGCATGAAAATAAATAAGCAGTCATTAATTAGCGATGCTGTTATGTGTGTCCTCTCCGCAGCATCGACATCCTGAAGTACATAATTTATGGCCTTGCAGCTGGATTCTTTGTGTTTGGAGTGCTGCTGCTGGTGGAGGGCTTTTTCACCACCGGAGCCATCCGCGATCTCTACGGAGAGTTCAAGATCACTGCCTGCGGACGCTGCCTTACTGCATTCGTGAGTCAAAACTTCTAAAACTCGTCAAGACATATTTGTGTTTAAGTTAGTGTTAATTTAAACAAAGAAGCTGCTGAAAGGATAGACGTGGTGACCCTTTCCTATTTTATACAAACTCCACTTTGCTAATGAGGGCCAATAATTAGCTTGATGTCACATGACCATAAATGACCGCAAAAGGTCAGCATCACTGATATTTACTTGGATGTGCAGAGTAGTATGATTCATATTGACCATTATTGACATTAAAGTTGTTTTACACACGCACGCACACAGACACACACACACACAGTGATTACGGCCCTTTTTAAACATCTACAGTTGCTTTTATCTGGATCAAACACTTATTTGCACAAACTTTATAACCTATAACTTAAGTGATGTCGTTGTGGCACTTTAACGTTTCCTGCAAATAAATGTTTGCAGTAAACAGCACAGTCATGTTCATCACAAAAGTACTGTTGGTTTCTGAGGTTTGTATTCGTCTAGTCAGCTACATCTGGAAACTGTGACAGATATTAGAGTGGCGTGCATGTGTCAGTGCAGCCACTCGACTCTGCGGCTGATGAAGACGAATGTGCATTTTGCACTTTTTTAGTCCAACCTGAATAAAGACTTTTGTGAGCTCTGCTGAACGCGATGCACAGCAGTGCGAGACTAATGTGTGCCTGTGTTTGCAGCTGATGTTCCTGGCCTACCTGTTCTTCCTGGTGTGGCTCGGGGTGACAGCATTCACCAGCCTGCCGGTCTTCATGTACTTCAACGTTTGGTCCATGTGTCAGAACACCAGCTCGGTGGAGGGAACCAACCTCTGCCTGGACCTGCGTCAGTTTGGTACGCAGACTTTGGACCCTTTGCTTTTTGCACCCCGATGTTAAATTTACTTCCAATCATGAACAGCTACATTTCTAACTTACAAAAGAATTTCGTTTCTTTGTGGTTAGACCTCTGCAAGCTTTGCACAACGCATTTTCTGAGTTTGAGTTAAACAAGAAGGACTGGTTTTCCCAGTTTGATGCAGTTTATGTGAGATGCTGTAAACGGGAAGACTGGCGAGTTCAGCTTGATGAGCTCAGCTGCCTTTAAACAAATGACTGTAATTTCTCTGTGCTGCTGCTCCGAGCTCAGACCAGCCCCTCCCATTGATCCGTGCACCTCTAATTTATGTGTGGAACATCTTTTCCTTCACTTTGTTGGATTTAACAGACTGGAAATCTTCTTCATACGCTGCTGTTCAGATTTTTAACTCAGCCTGTTCTTTGTTCTGTGATTAAAAGTAAGATCCTGGATCACCCGATCACTGCTTAGAGCAGGCAGGTTAATGGTGACTCACCAAAACACCAAACTGGCACATATCATGGAAAAACCTGTGTGTGTGCAGAAGAAGTGCCAAATACCAGCAGAAAGCTGCAAAGCCTTCCAGGCGCTGCAACGACATCCGAGAATCGGACGCTCGAGAGGAAAAACATTGATCTGAAATATCTGCAAATTCATTAATGACAGAAAACGTCCGAGCTCGGCCTGTCGGTCGGTGTTTCTGGTGTTTGATGAAGTCCTGAACATGTGTTTGAGGTGTTAGACAGCTGAGCCCGTGTGAAATGTGGGTGTGACTGAATAACAGCAGCGACGGCGGTCTGGCTCTCTTCAGACATCCTGAGAACAGATCACAGAAATGTCAGGAAGCAGTAACGGGACATGTTTGTCTCTGGGTGTCTCTGCCTGCATTCACTCAGGAGCCACGGCTCCACCTTAAATCAGTACAATGCCAGATGTCATTCGGCATGTAAGGTGCCAGAAGTCGGCCCGGTTAGGCCCAGAGGTGCCAGCTGTCTGGGTTCTTTATGCAGATTATTTTTCTGCCTGATTATCATCACCTGTCTTTCCAAACAGCATGTTATCACGACTTAGCTCAAAACCTCCTTAAATGTTCACACAGACAGACTTCAGCTGTTCAATGCTGCACATTACTGTGTGCACGATGCAGCACTGCCCACCATGTTGTTCTCAGGATGCCTACATTAAAACAAAAGGCACCACCAGAGGCCTTGTGTGCGCTCGCTCACTGCGCTGCCATCTGCTGTTCAACATTTAGACTGCAGCAGGCCTCAGTCAGCAAACTAATTTCTCAGGAGGAAAAACATTAAAGATGAACTCCTGGTTCATGAGGCGCTGCGCTCTGGACTGTGATTACTTCAAGGCTGTTCCCAGCGGCCGACAGTCCAGGAGCGGGGAAGCGTTGATCTCAGTCAGCTTTAGTTAAAGAAACGCAGGGACCGTCCGAGCGCTGCGATAGGCAGAGATTCCCCGGTTCGTTCATCAACCACAGAGGACGAGGAGAGGCTAACAGAGCGTTTGTGCTTCTCAGGAGCGGTGACCATCTCCGAGGAGAGGAAGTTGTGCACGCAGTCCGAGAAGTTCGTCAAGATGTGCGAATCCAACGAGGTGAGAACGCAGCAAAAACACGTACACGTGATAACCCGTCAGCACAAATCCACCGCATCATGCGTATGTTGTGTTGCAGCTGGACTTGACCTTCCACCTGTTCGTGTGCGCACTAGCAGGAGCAGGAGCTGCTGTCATCGCCATGGTAAGAACCATCATTCTCATATCTGATTGGTTATAATTTGTTCTGCCATTATGGTTTTTAATGATTGGTGCAAACGAAGGAAACAGACATCGTCCCTGCAGACAGGGAGACAAAAGAGTCAGAGTGTAAAATCCAGTCCTGCACGTCTGCAGTGAGACAGACGGTGAGTCACCGGTGTCTCCAGATCTGAGGCGTGGAGACGCTCACGTCCTTCCATCCTCGCTCCAAGCACACATTCACAAACCTGAGCCTTTCTGAATAATCTCCGATCTTTCCCGTGCACAGATCTGTACAAGAACCAAAGAACCAAAGCACCGGCACTCGTCCACACACACAAATCTGTTGTGCGGCATGAAGCAGCGTGAGGGACGTTTCATTTGTCAACTTACTGAAGGGGATGAAACCGCGTGGTGCTGCATGTGAATGCTGAAATGCTAAAATGAAGAGTATATCACACACACGGCGCAGCAACAGCAGTGAGTTGCTGCGCCGTGCTTTAACACTAGGGGCCGCCAGAGGGAGCGGCTCGTGTGCACAGTGTGGGATTAACAGCATTAGACTCGACCCGTGTTCAGGGCTGTACCTGTGTTTGCTCCAGGAAGGTGACTACATGTGCACTTCCTCTATTAAATTCAAGTAAACCTGTTAAAAACATACAGCTGCTGTTTTTAGCCCTGAGTGGCAGAAACAAGGTAAACACATCCTGTCCTCCTTCTGCCTTTAAAGGCGAGATGTGACCCCCTCATCTGGCCTCCCCCTCCTTTTCCTGCAGCACTGATGTGATGGTGTAGGAACAGTCCAAACCAGCTGATCCCAGATAAGCCGCTCAGTCTGTCTGCAGCGTGAGCGTGCAGCGGACGAGTCGGTGATGTTTGATCGGTCTCCTGCGTTTCCCCTCAGGTGCACTTCCTGATGGCTCTAGCCGCTAACTGGGGCTACCTGAAGGACGCCAGTCGGATGCAGAAGTACGAGGACATCAAGTCGAAGGAGGAGCAGGAGCTGCACGACATCCACTCTACACGCTCCAAAGAACGCCTCAATGCCTACACATAAACACGCCGCCACGAGGAACGACACACACACACTTACCTGTCAGACACACACGCACACACGGGTGAAAAAGATTCATTCAAACAAATTTACAGACACGAGTAGGCAGAAATTAGAGGATAAGAAACCCATGAGATCACCGACGCCCTCCTCATCCTCAGCTCTTCATTGCTGGTCTGCTCCAAGTTTAACACGATAAATCGTCCAGATTCACCGAACCTAAAGCGGTCAGACATTTTAGTCTGAAGGTTTCTGAATGTGATGGTGTGAGTTTTCAGGCCTTTCAGAGTAAAATGCTGCACAAACAAAAGTTCTCACTGCATAACACAAACCAGCGTAACGAGGAAATGCCAAAAATCACCGCGGACGAACCCAAAGAAGGAGAATTATTTCAATCTGATCGCCTAAAGACTCCAAACAGTAACGATCTACAGCAGACGCATGAGGACGGCGTCCGTGAGCTCATCGTCAACACACACACACACACACACACACACACACACGGAGACATGTAGATGTGACTGAATGGTCGGTGTTGTTTGGTGGTGTCATGCTGTGTTGTGTCGTTCGCCACGCTATGATGATGGTGTCACAGAGAAATAAGGTCCCCGAGGAAATTTGTGCCTCCCGGGTACAAATGGGTAGCTTTGCCAACTCCCCCCACCCCCTCCTTTCTCCCTCCCTGACCTCTGACCTCTTCACGTTGAGCCCAGTTTCATTAGTTGTTTCATAGTTTCTCGTGTGGTCGTTTGCGGCGGTGGGGGGTGGGGCGAGGTTTTGGAAACAAAAGCACTGGATTGGTTAACATCCAGCAGGTGGTCGGAGACCCGCCTGAGGTTAGCGTTGAGCTCGAGCTTTGGTTATAGCGTTTTCAACCATAACCACGGGCCGATCACGACGACCTGCAGGAGAGATTTTACCCGTTAATTGCGGAGCGCCGATGATCGCAGAAGAATCGATGTCACGAACACGACCAAATTCTCTCAATGCGTCTCTATTTCTGCGTATCGTATTCTTCTTTTTATTCTGAGGCTGACAGCACGCACGGTGGCAGCGGGGGTGCAGCTAGTGAAACGGGGCTCCCTCCTCCCCCCCTCTTCGTCCCCTGATTGTACAAACTTGTGATTCGTCCTCAGAAACAGCACATCTTAGCAGCACAAAGTCTTTTAGTCATCATCTCATCCGTCTGTTACGTAACGTTTTCTCACTTTTCAGGGATTTTGCCACATTTTTATTCGGATTCTTTCAGTGTGATTTTAGCACCGGGGTATTTAAACGGGGGGGGGCTGTAACATTACCAGGTGATGATTCAGTATTTCAGCGATTCTGCACACACACACACACAAGCGTATACACCAGTCATCTCGAGTGATTCGTTGTTCTCATGCTTCCTGTTTTGCGTTCTTTGGCGACGCCCTGATGCGACCAAAACGTTATTTGTAAGTTGAGTCAGAAAAATCAGCGACACCAACCGCAGGCTGACGGCGGCAGAGGATCGGCAGGAATTCTGGGTAGTGTTTGTGTGTTGGCGGTGGTGGAGGTGGTGGTGTCTGAAGCAGATTGTAGGGCGGAGGAAGAGGAACGACATTCCAGCGAATAAGCTAATGGTTCAGGGCTGAGCTGCTGGACTGTGGTTGCCGGCTGCTCTCGTGTCCTGTAACGCTCTCCTCGGGTTGCTGGGTTATTCTGGACCAGCGGAGCTTCCCAGTTCTCCACAGTCGCAGTTCACCACGCGAGGTTTTATCAGCAGATAAAAATGCAGTCAACACATTTAATAAGCTCGACGTCCTTCTAACGCAGTGGGCTCAGGTCCAAACGCTGTTCGGTCTTTGTTCTGTGTTCAGCAAGAGAAGAAGAAGCGTGCAGGCGAGGATGGTGATGACTCTCTATCTGCCAGTAGAGACGACTGAGAGCGAGATGAAGATGATGACATGATGGTTTGATTTGATGAGACTACCGACACACACACACACACACACACACACACACACACACACACACACACACACACACACACACACACTCCACCACCGCCATCACTCTGAGCCATAACTCTTTACTTTTCACGATGACATTTCACTATTTTATTATCAACTTTTAATCTTTGAAACTTTTTAAATGTGAAATCATTTAATTAGAAAAAAGAAATGTGTTTTTTTTTCTCTTTTCCTTTCGCGTGTGGGCGGTGCTAAAGCGCTGCACCGACGTTAACTCTGTATAAAGATATACATATATGTGAAACAGTCGAGGTGAGCAGCCGGGAGGAGGATTTCCTATGGGTTACAGAGTCCGGAGGGGGCGGCGGTTCAGTCCCAATGTCCTGATCCTCTGCTCCCCGCGCACAGCTGCACTTACACCTCGACGCTCCCGAGCCGCAGTAAAAGGTTTGAACCGGCGCCTCGGCTCCAATAACCACGACGACCAAAGTCCAGATTCGCTGGCTTCACACGTTGGTCGTCCTGATTTGTTGTGACTCTCTAAACAGTTATTTTGAGTGATTCACCGATGGGTCGCCATCTGCTTCAGCCAATCAGCACGTGGAAAACGTTGTTTGCCGCCAGCTTTGTGGCTCGATGTCCTGCTCGTGTGTTTTAAATACTTTAATGACCTTATAACCAGTGTTGCCAACTCCTCAGTAAGGAAAATCGCTATTGGCTGTCCTAAAAGTTGCTAGAAGTCGCCAAATGACGTCATCGCCCAATTTGCATAATTGGTCATGCTAATGTAATTGTAACCTACGCTGTTGGAGAGAGAAATAACATCGTGGAAGAGACATAAAGTGAGTAAAAAACGTCCTCAATGCAGTTAGAATTTATTTAGAATTACAAATTAAATTTCTTTTAGCAATTATTGTTTTTTAATGTCACAATTCCAACCCTGCTCCTTTACCCGGGCTTGGACCGGCAAAAGTGACCCGAGATAGGCGCTCTGGTGGAGTTACTGTGTGTGTGTTTATAAGTAGTTTTAAACCTTGTGATCCACAAAACAGCATAAGAGTAAAATAAGATGTGACTGCGTTACATGCGCGATTCATTTGCCGTTTGGACGCACAGGTGTGAACGTCTCCTGCCCTGATAGCAGCGGGGGAGGACTGTCCTCCACCCGTGAGCGCTTTGGCACGGGTGAGGTGCCCACGGCAGCACCGCTGCTTGTTGAGAGTAAGAGCGATCCGCACTTTCACGTCAAAAAGTCGACATAAATAAGTCTCCAACAACACCGGAAAAAGTCGCCAGATTTGTCGCTAGTCGCTTTTTAGAAAAAAAGTCGCTGAAAACTTGATAAACATAGCGACAAAGTCGCTACGTTGGCAACACTGCTTATAACTTAATGCTAAAAAACTAATTTCACTTATTTAAAAAATGTGTGCAAGCTGATTGGTTTAAACTCAGATAAAAGCTTTGATGTTAGACAGCACAGATGCTGATTGGCTGAAGCATTCACGGGACGCCATCCAATCAGGACGTGTTGGGAGCGTCTGCGTTTACAGCAGACATAAAGAGCAGTTAGCATCTCCAGCCGTGCTCGCTGCTTCGTGTAACTGCAGCTGACCAAAGTACAAAAAGCACCGCGGCGTCATCGAGGGGCGCCTCCGCCGGACTCGCGTCCTGTTCAGGTGTGTCCCGGCTGCACACGGTCAGTATTTTTAAGGGTCTAGTTTTACAGTAACAGTATTCTATCATTTCATTGCCTGACAATGGATGTCTTGTCAGTGTTTTTAACCTCAGATAAAAGAAAAAATAGTTTTTTGTGCACTTATTGACCATCGTGAGCTCTCTCTCTTATTGTTGGTGTGTAAGTGCATTGAGATCCCCACTGTGGGACCCGTGTATAGTCTTGCAGCATTGGTTATAACCTGAAGAAATAACAATGATGAAAACGAATGAATTCATAATAATGAAGATAATCTTATACTACATAAAAAAGACAGTGACTCTAGTTGTTGTTTGTGGCATGGTTATGCATTCAATGGTCATAATTTTAACGATTAAAACAAGACAAAAAAAAGTCATTTTTTTCCACTGGCGCTGTTCTGCTGTTTTTATTTTCCACTTTTCCGTGTGCAGTATTGCCGTTCCTGTTGCTAATGGTGTTGCTAAGCTAGCTTGCTTGCTCAGTTGTTTACCACCAGAGCAATATATTGTAGCAGTTTGACAAAATCGAGACGTTAAAAACAACAAGTCCATTCAATTTACGGCATACAAGTGCATGAATTTATGATTGCAAGTCTTCAGTGATATGATTATGGTGTTCTGTATTGTTTATCCTAATAAAGCGGATTTGCAGATGTGGTGTAATGTATTGCTCTGGCCACCCGTTTCCCTGCACCCACCTCTGCTCACGTGCTCCTCCTCGCCCTCCTCGCAAACGCACGGCTCGGACGCTTTCAGAGCCCGTGGTGGATTTCAGACGAATGATCGGAAACGCAGAATTCAAACTTCCAGCGCTGCTGGATGTGGAGGACCACAACGGCCATTGGTTAAAAAGGACGTGAATAAATTAACAAACACGTCTTTAATGCAAAAATAATATTTATACTAAATAGGGTTTCTTAGCTTAACTGTTTTTGGAATTAGTCCTCTGTTTACTTTATTTCCCCTTTTGGTTCTTTCTGTGTTTCGGCTTCATTATGCAAGCAAGACCCAGAGAGCTGATTCTGCTCACCTGGGTGTTACCTTCGGTCACCATCCAGGTGACCAAATGCACCGCTGAATCGTCTCTGGGTCAGCGACGGTGCGCCGACTCCTCCTGGTCGCTGAACCAAGGTCGGTCTCTGCGAGGCAAACGAATCAGTCGTGTCAAGTTTGGCTTGTGTTCGGTGCACAAACACGGATGCAAACTCAAACGTTAGTTTATGCAAAACTGTCAGAAATACTTAATAATCTGAATGATGGCAGTTTTGGTCGTCCACAGTCTGAAGGTGAAGAAGAAAGAAGCCAGACTGTCGGCTGTCAGTGTGGCACAGAACAGATTTGGCCCAAATAAAACCAAAACACCTGAGACAGGTGACCCGAGAGGCTCAGCCCGCTGTTGTAGTCGGGTGGAGGAGGACGTGAGCAGCTCGCTCTCCATTCGTTCAAGTCTCCTCATCTGACTGTCTAACCCACATGTAAAGACGAACGCGTGTGATGATACGTTCTGATCCTGCGTCCTCTCTGTCTGCTCGCTGACCGCGGCTGAACCATTCCAGGATCCCGAGCGCGGGATCAGAAACCCGAGCGCGTCGGCGCGATCGAGCATGAGTTTCAATGACATGACGTCTGAGTTCCAACCCGCTGTGAGGAGGTTTGCCGTGTTCCCACAGCTCTGAATCACAGGGGGAGATCAGACCCTCTGTGCCTCTTGTCCATCATGAAGTGAGCCGCAGATCTAACAGCTGATGATGTCAGTCCGTGACCTTCCACTGATCATCACGTGTTTCAGATTCATGCATTATGTGAGGTTGGACATCTTGGACGTTGGAGGTCGTTTTTTTCTGTTTCTCTATAGTGTGCTAGACTTTTTGTACTTCACTCTGGTTGCTTAGTAGCAGGCTTCATCTGATTCACTCCTCCATCTTTGTACATATGTGTGCCAACAGCTTGGGCAGACAGTGGCTTTTTTATTTGTAAAGACATAAACTTGCTTGCATATATAAATAAAATGAAATAATACACTTGTGTACTTGTTAATAAGGGAACATCCTGAGTTTGTGTCTTCATTTCTCTCACAAAGTCATTAGAAATAATGAAAAAAGGATAATGAGGATGTTATGTCATCCTCACACTGAGTGATGAAACATCAACAGACCAACGTGTGGCGCAGAGGATGAATAAAAGACGCTTTATCACACGCGGCCGGATCATCATCCACGATGGAAGCTGCTGTGATTCATATTTTTGGTGATAGATACAATAAATCTGATCAGAGTTATGAAGGACGTTTATGCACAAAGGCCTCACACCAAAGGTAAAGCTAGTCACGTGATGTCACCTGCTTCATGCAGGCCTTTATCCAAGGAAAGGAAACAACAGGCTGGCACAGGGAGGACACGAAAACTCTAAAGGCCTAACTGAACACGAGGACCAAGCCCTTCTTGATAAAGGCTGTAACAGCGCCATCTTGTGGTCACATTTATGCATTACAGCGTAAAAAAAAAACTGGAGTAGTCAGCAGCTGACGTCTTCTAAGCTACAAAGACTAAACCATCGTTTATGTTTCCTCCGTTTTGTATTATTACCTGATGGTTTTGCATCTAGAACCTCTTTTAGGATTATCGCGCATTAGTTCGGCTTCAGTCACAGAAAGCTGTCACCGGATCATCTCTGCAGCACGTCTGCACACGATGAGCAGATAACCTCAAAGTGACGAACATTTGATTTAAAAAAGAAAGGCTGAAGTTACAGAGGGTTATGTTTCCCCTCGATGCCCTCAGGTGTGCAACCAGACCAGAGCACACAGATCCAAGTCTACAGTTTTAGGCGCCTCCACCGCCACATATGAAGCAGTCCTGTGTTGTGAATCTTTTTCTATTAACTGAGTCAAAGAAAAGTCATTTAAAAGCAAAACATTTTATCCACAAAGGTTTTGTTTCACTGTTTAACCATAAATTAAGTCTACAGTTCATGTTGGAGTGTTGAAAAGTCCAGCAGTGCCGCCTTGTGGTAAAGAAGTGAAGTACATGTCTAAGCACGTCATGTGATGGCTTCCTGTTTTAGCCGTGCGAGATGCACATCCCCCCCTGCTGGTCAAAGTTCATCAGTGCATCAGGCTGTCTCCACCCTCCCATCCTCACGCTTCTGGTTTTGTTGCTTTAGGTTGTTACGTCGATTAAATTTAAAGGAAATAAATGAATGTATAACGTGTGACTTAAATGAAATCAGAATCATAATATTTTATTAATCCGCAAAGAATTTTGTGATCACAGTCACAACAACAAACACCGTAACACACTGAACTAATTAAATAATACAGTATATTACAAAGTTTACAATATACAAGAAATATTTCTAATATGTACAAATATGTTAGTTATAAACATCCAGATTATTACAGAGAAACTTTGTTATTTCCACTGTGGAGGACGTGCTGCAGGCTGCAACTCCTGCACTGTGTGCTGTGCATTAGATGGAGGAGTTGTGCAGGAATGATTTCCTGTGTCGTTCAGTGGTGCATTATGGGTAATCTCAGTCTCTCACTGAGTGTGCACCTGTGATTGCCCAGCATGTTACAGAGTGGGGATTATCCATCATTGTCCTCATCTTGGACAACATCCTCCTCTCCAGTGAATGCACTGGAAAAGTAAAAAAACATGACCTCACAGCGCTCGCCGGCTGGTCCAGGTAGACACAGACACGATTGAGCAGGTCGATGATGGAACTGAAGGGGATCCTGATCTGATAGGTCAGAGATGGTCCAGGGTGAGTCTTTCCAGGGTCCTTGTGACGTGGGAGGTCAGTGCCACAGGCTGTAATCGTGGGGGCCACTGGGACGCGGTGTCTTTGGTACAGGGATGAGCTGTGAGCACTGGGACCCTCTTCAGACTCAGCACGAACAGTTTATGAAAGACTCCACAAAGCTGGGGGGTCTCGAGGACATGGGGACTCACCCGGTCTGCTGCTTCTCGTTTGTCTCTGAACCTGGTCTTGACTGAAAGTGACGGGTTGGGGAGGGGCCTCAGGCAGCGGTGCAGTGTGGTAAATATTTACTCTGATTCATCAGGTGTTTGAACACGACGCCAACACTCCAACTTTCCCGATTGCTTATGTGAATAAACATCTTCTGTTCTTATATCTGTATTAGTGTTAAAAACACCAGGATTCACTCAGTGGAGCAAAAGTGTCATATATTTGTTTTATTTAAAGCACAATATTAGAATAAAGCACATTAACACTTACGGTAACAGATGATGGCGATACCTGTCATAGCTCCTATATTTACACAGAAACACAGTAAGGCCCACGTATGTAACATGACTCAGGGACATTTTTGCAGCATACATTTGTACATCGTAACCAAACAAGCGTGTTTACAGTTTTATATGTAAAAATCGTGTATGAGAAGTTTTCTATGTGGAAAAATCAGTCAGAGTATGAATTTGCAACACGGGAGTGCTAAACTTATAAATATGCAGATAAACAGATACATTAACATAAATCACATTCATGCAGGTTTATTTATTTACCTGTCTTCATGATTAAATATTCATATTTTAGGAAGCAAGCAAGAAGTTTCTCAAACATCTGATCCCTGACCTTTCAAAACCGGCAGTTCCTCCGACGTCCAGCCTACATCGCCTGAGCTGCGGTAACACGAGTTTTCAAACAATTTTACTATGAAGAATGTCAATGATGGTTTCAGATGTTTTCTAAACACCAGAGTTAAATGATGCCCAGGTTTTCATAGATTACATCATCAAGCGGACAATCCGAGGCTTTTGTTGTGCTCCTGTTGGCGATAGGAGACGAGGAGGAGGGGGTGCTGTCATTGGATGACGAGGGGCTAGACGACGGTGCTTTCTTACAGACATGAGCGTAAAGATGAGCGAAGGGGTCGGCCTTTGCTTTGCTTTTCAGAGACACTTCGCTCCGTCTGCCGGGTTGGGCGTAGACCGCGTCACCCTCTGCTGAAACCTTCGTTTCTTCTTTTTTCTGGAGGATGTTGTCTTTGTTCTGGTGATGGCCGACCTTGTCGTACACCTCCGAGTAGACCGAATCCGGGTCGTCTGCGCGAGGGGGGGGATGCGGAGCGGCACATGGGGGGTTGAGAGGAAGAACGCTCGCAGGGTCGATATACGTGGCTCTGACAGGCGGGGGTTTTGTTACAGGCCGGATGCAATCAGTCGGATTAGCATATATGGCCTCTGACTGGTCTCCATGGTTACCTGCAGAGGAGCCAGCAGGGACCAGTGGGAGTGGCATGAGGGTGATAGGAGGCGGGTGATCTTCCCGAGCATGTGTGCTCTCTTCTCTGCTCTCCTCTGTCCTCAGCTTGTTCTCCAGGATGGCGGCCATGTTGGTCATATCGGGGACTTTGGGGAGGGGCGAATGAGCCTGTATGTTGGTTACCGCAACCTTCTCTCCCTCTGGGTTTTGGTTGGTCGATGAAGTCTTCAGTTTGATGGTGCTCTGAATCAGGGCGAATATCTTCTCAGCCTGCGGCGTCTCAAAGATGAACACTCCAGGACCGGAGTCGCAGCGCCGCCCGGCTTCGATGGTTAGGGTCAGCTGGGAGGAGGAGAGAAAATAAACGTCTTACACTTGTGAGGCTTCAGTTTCACTTAAAGCTTCCATCATGAACTGAACTTTAACAAGAATGTGAAAGAATTTCAGGTGAAAACATCAGAGCATGAGAGCCAGACTTTTCGGTAACACCGTTTTGCACCACATGATGGCGCAGCAAGCTAATCCAGCACCCAGCAGGAGAGGAAGAGCTGGTACCCACACGCATGTGGAGGCGAGATATGGCTGAAGAATTATCACCAAACACAACCACATTTGATCATTTTATATAAATGATAAAAGTGAAACACGGGCAAACGTAAGCATGGTTCCTGGAGAGTGCTAACATTTTTGCTCTTTTTCTGTTCAGGCGCACGCCTGCAGACGATATCGAGCCACCAGTAAAGCTGACGGATTCAGAGCTCCATAAAAAAGCTCCAAAACCTCCCTGCTGTCGGGCTTGAGTCCTGATCTCAGGCTAAACACTGACTTTTCCTGCTTCTCCTTACAGTCTGGTAAAATGGCGCCCCCATGTGGTGAAAGATGTAATAACAACATGCAGCAGGTGATACAAAAAGCACCTTTAAATTGTGACCATGAGCAGCACACACCTTATCATTCCCGTATCGCCTCAGGAGTTCGTACGGCCACTCGTGAACAACCTTCTTCTTCTGGGTTTCTTTCAGAAGCAGCGCCTCCCGTCCCACCTGCAGCCAGTACGCCCCCTGCAGGCTGCAGCGGGTCGCTGCCTCCGTCCTCTGAATCGCCACCCAGAACTCAGAGGCTGTAAACAGGGAGGCGAGTCTGTCATTCATTACTATGCAAATAAAGCAAAGCAGAACACTGATGTGATAATTTAACACAGTTTAAATACATGCAGTTAATAAATACTGACAGCATGAGCAAAAAGTGTGAGGCTCGGCTTCTCTGTGCTCCTTTAAGGATGTTTCTGAACACTACGTCAGAGTGCATGTTGAATGTTAGGAAGGTTATTACGGTCCACTTTTACTGAGCAGCCAGAGAGAGCTGAATATTACATTTCTGCAGTATCGTGTACATCCCTGTAGCTCACTGTTTGCTCAGCGTGTGTCACATTTTCCCAGACTCACGTTTATGTGAACGTGTCAAAACTGGGGGATGCAATAACTGCTCGTCCTGTTCCATGGGGGGCGCTCTTAACCGGAATTGAGTATTTGGAGAAGACAAAAGCAAAGAATTTACCTTCTTCTACTGAGACGTATATCTGGTTCTCCTCCATTTTGGGCTGATTGGAGCGTGGACGGCCTCCTTTCTGAGAGAGCGAATGAAGCAAGCTTAAATAATTAGCTGTGAAATCATGAAGCTGCACATTTGTGTGAAACGTAAAGAGAAGGAACATTTGTGTCCTTCACACCTGAAACGTGCTTTGGCACAGTTTGTCCACCCAGTCGGCACAGTCGTCTCTGAGTGCGGCGAACACCATGGTCCTGTCCTGAGTCTCCACGCAGAACGCCCACATGTTCTCCTGCAGACACAAACCAGCTTTAAGCGTCTTTTCGACTTTTGACGACTGGAAACGTGAGAGTATGACGGCTCACCATGGGGCAGGCCTCAGCGTTCGGGGGGAGTCTGAGGACGCTGATCAACTCGGACAGCCGGACCACCTTCACCCTCCGGTCCCCGTGTTTTCTGACCCCAGTGGCGAGATCGCCCCCTGCAGGATGCACCGTGCACAAAACAGGCAGAGAGTTACAGCTGAGTCGGCGGCGAACGCCTGACAGGCATAAATCGCGCGGCCTGTACGGCTTCTTCTCAAACCAGAGCGACTCAAACAATAAGCTTCGTGCGCACTCTGCACTGCGGCCGTTTCCACCCGACGAGTCTTTGCTCAGAGCGCACGATTCTTCTCCGGGTGGAGAAACGTGAGGCGACATGTTTGCCTGAATGTCAAACAGCCGCAGGCGATACTTCCACTCGCAGGTGTGGGAGTGTTTGTGGCTGAGCTCTGGTTTAAGTAAGATTCAAATGTGTGTGTTTGAGTGAGCTGAACACCAATATTACTCGTCACAAGGAAAAGGCAGAGTGATATTTAAAGATGAATCTGTTTGTAAAGACAGGATTAAGCACTGAATCATCCTGTCATACTCACCCTCACGCAGACCTGCGAGCCACAAGCTCGACCTGCGTTAGCCTGCAGACTCGTGTTTATCTGACTCATAATTTAAGGGATAAACATCCTGTTTTATCCACGAAGCTCTGAGACCAGTGACAGACACGATAAAGTCATCATGTAACTCCTGTACTCAAAATCATTTTTGCAATCAAAGAAGTCGCCCCCTGCTGGCAAAGAATGAAGGTTTATGTCGCTTGTCAGATCGGAGTACATTCATCTTTTATAGATACATTTTGCTGTGAATCGGTTCATCCATCGAGCTTTGGGTCATGGGGGCAGCAGACACCCAGACCCCCCCCCGTCCATCCACCTCTTCCTAACTAATCAAGAGGGACTCCAAGCATTCCCAAGCCAGCTGAGATATAACCTCAAGGTCAGTCCAGGGTCTGCCTTCGTGCTTCCTCCCAGTATCCCAGCAGGCATCCAAGCATCCGCCACCATCTTCTTTTGATGTGGAGGCGTAGCAGCTGTACTCCAAGCTCCTCCTTTCATCTTTCAGAGGAAGATCATTTCCACATTATCAGTAACTACCCAGAGCAGAAGGTGACTGTAGATCAACAGTAAAGCTTCACTTTTACACTCAGGGCTCTCGGTTCGGCGTTCGCACCAGTCCATCTGTTGATCTCGTGCTCTGCTCTTCCATCACGTGTGAAAAGACCTCGAGGTGCTTCAAATCTTCTACTCGAGGCAGCGACTCATCCCGGATCAGAGCGGGCACACCACCCATTTCCAGCTGAGGATCATGGCCTTGGAGCTGCTGATTCTCGTTCCTGCACACTGCACTCATGATTTAAAGAACCTCGTCTTCTCTTAATAGCAAAGCTGAAATCCTCAGGCCACCGAAGCTGAAGAACAGAAAGTGAAGAATGTTTCAAAAGTAGGCTTGAAAAAACCCAAACTGGCATCCCAGTTCCAGAAATTGGAGTATTTGGAGCACAGAAGGAGACCTGGCAACATGGCATGTATGCTGTCAGCAGAACCTCTGGAAGGTGGAGGTGCTTTGCAGCTCGCACATGGATGTTTCCGATGATTTTCCCGGAGTGAACTATATATTTTAGCAGTGATGTCGTCCCTCTGTCTTTGAGGCCTCTGTGCAGATGACAACAACACTGCAGACCTTCTCTAAACTCCAGCTAACGTCAGACATCCAGTTTGACTGAGCGGGGAAGAAGCAGGAGAGAGGTGTCGACGTGAAAACTACGTTTCTCCCTCCAAGTGAGAAAACACTTGATTTATGCAACTTTTTGACCTTTATTGGATTACAGTGACCTGCTTTTTATGAACGCACCTGCCCACTACCTAAAGAGGTTGGATACTGTCCACCATTGTGCTTTATGTTTTATTACTGGCTCTTCCTCTGCAGAAGGAACTGAAATGATCAGAACGGGTTACCTCGGGGAGATCAAGTCTGTCTTAAAGGAGCGAGAGAATAACTCTTTTACTCAGCGTGATTGTTTTTAACGTCGCTCTAAATTTGATCTGTTATTTTATATTTTTCACATGTTTGTACAGGATATTGTATTTGTTTAAAATGTTATATACTTGAGAAGTTCAGCCATCCGGGACAGGCTCAGAGTAGAGCCGCTGCTGCTCCACATCGAAAGGAGCCAGCTGAGGTGGTTCGGGCATCTGACAAGGATGCCTCCTGGGCGCCTCCTGGGTGAGGTGTTCCAGGCATGTCCCACCGGAGGAGGCCCCGGGGCAGACCCAGGACACCCTGGAGAGATTATATTTCCCCAGATAAGCTGGAGGAGGTGTCTGGGAGAGGGAGGTCTGGGCTTCTCTGCTTAGGCTGCTGCCCCCACGACCCGGCCCGGATAAAGCGGAAGAAGATGGATGGATGTTATATACTTATGTGGTACGTGTATTTTGACTTTTGTTGCTATGATACCAGGTCTCTCTTGGAAATGAGATTTTTTACCAGGATAAATAAAGGACTAATAAGAAGAAGAAGAACTCCAGATAAATAATTTCCTGTTAGTGTAGCTTTATTCCTGCTTTCTTTCTGGAGCTCAAACACACTGACTGCATAGAAACTTCGGACTTCAAACTTCTCTTATTTTTACTCCACTTGTGTATTTGTGAGCAAAAGTCAGCGAACCTGTGCAACCTCAAACATTCCTGTGTGCACACACCTGCAAAGCAAACAGCAAAACTCGGTTACACGCTGGACTTTGGACACTGGATCAATGCTTGAGTCAATGTTTAACCTCAGTTTGGTTGAAGTGTGCTTGGCGTGTATTGAGACTTGCTGATTATTACAAAATTAGGTGACGTCTGATGTGTTTGCAGCAGATTCTGCAGAACATCTGAACTCTTGGTCCAGACGAGTGCAGGAGCTGCTCCCCCAGGCCTCTGGTCCCCCTCTAAGTACTCCTGAAAGTATATTTACTTTTATTACTTCCTTTGTAACATCAGTACTCTTGCACTGCTGATTCTACTGCATCTCCCTCACAGCTGAACGTAATTTGCTAAAAGTGGCATCAGGATGAATCTGAGACGAGTTTCAGTCGACCAAACGTCACCATGCAAAAACCCGACCGAACACTAGGGGTCAGTATTGTTGCACGTGGCAGCAGTGAGGATTGTTAGCTGGTGTGTCTGCAGATGACAGAGAGATTACTGTTCTCATCCCCAGATTCAGTTCAATTCAGTTTCATTTATACAGCGCCAAATCACAGCAACAGTCGTGTCAAGACGCTTTATGATCTTTATCATCACTCATGAATCTCTGCAGGTGAGAGGCGAGGAGCATCTTTGTTAGCATTAAAGCTGTGAAGCATCCCTGCATGTGTTTGTGTGCAGGTCACAGAGAAAGGACTGAAGGAAGCACTGAGGTTCTGTGACGAGCAGCTCTCACCGTGTCGGACACTTTCTGGCCTCTGCGTAGATCGCACCTTTTAAAGACCGCTGCTGGCAGCTGTTTCTCTGCTTCGGCCCGGTCCTCGTTCACAAACTCTTCTCTGATGTTCGTGTGTCGTCCACGTAAAACGTGCATGTCATGTGTTCACTGTGCAGATGCTGCCGCTGAGCTTACATAACATCGCCCTCATCCCGGGCTCTGTTAAAGCGTCAGATCCGGTGCTCGTGTTCAGCGGCTGATGCTCGGCCCGCCGCTGCATGCATGACATGCGTTCAGCACCACCAGCATCCCTAACATGACACGATTCCCCGCCTTTTCGTGCTCGTGTGGTTTTATTTTTAGCTCCCCAGGAACTGATATGAAGCCGGCTTTCAGTGCTGAGCGTCTCCACTGAACACGAAAGCCGAGTTTAACTTAAAGACATGAAAGAAATATTTAATTAGTTCTGTTTTTCTGTTTAAGCTGAATATTTTGGACAGTGCAGACGTCCCACAGGGGTAAAGTAAAGAAAAGGTCTGGAGAATCACAACATCAGAGGATGATTGAGAGTTTTTCTTTATAATCTGCACTTTGTGTCTGTCAATAGAGCAGCAACATCAAAGCTGCAGTTCCAGAAGTGAGTCCATGTTTGCACGTGCAGGATTAGAGCCACTGCTGCGATCATTGCTTTCTTATGTAATCAGGATTATGACCAACACTTCAGATGTTCTACCTTTATAATACAGTGGTTTGTAAAATCTGTCTCCACCGCCTGTTCAAAGGTGTATTCCAGCTACTGACAGGTGACAAATGAAAGGATGAACCCCTGTTTCCTATCTGGAAGCATCAGTCTGTTGTTGAATGTGAATGCCACTAACTGGCTCTGCTGATTGAATCAGCGCCATGTTGTTCCTCCAAAACGTACGTGCACGGATCTGCATGTAAATGTTACCTGAGGTGGAGCTCGGCAGGCGCGTGCGGGGGGGCTTGAGCACCTGCCCCTTCAAACATCTCTGCACGGCCCTGGAGCTCCCCACAGCGTTTCATTGACCTGATTAAACTGTGAAAATCTGACATTTAGTGTCACGTATTAAATATCACCTCAAATATCAAAGTGGAACAGGATAAAACCTGAGACGTGATCGTGATGTGACGGATAATCCAGGGAGATGACACAGAGCTGCTCCAGCACCTGCTCCCTCAGTCTGGGTTCAGCTGGACTGGAAACAAACTGGGCTTG